GGAATCTGTGGAAGATCCTGGTTTGGGCTGGTGTTGGGATGCAGGCCTGTGTCTGATGTTCCCAAGCATCTGAAGTGTAAAGTACTACTTTAGCGATACTGCAGTATTACTTTGAATGAAACTACATCTATTAAAATTAGATTTGTAGCCACAAGGTGCAGTCCTCTCGTATACCTGGCCAAGTCATTGCATATTAAGTATTTAATTGTTCCTGTTTAGTTCCTAAGGCTTTCTGTTGGCTCTTCCTGTTGTTTTTAGAATGTTTACTGAAGAATATTCCAAACATTGCTGATAATGAGGCTCAAGAAGGTGAATTCCCTGATATCCCTCACTATGAAAAAGATGCTAGCGGATCTCCTGTTGAATCTGCTCACTTCTGCCCCGATCTGGAAGACTCGGATGGTGAAGCATCGAGTATGCCTGAGGCTGCAGCGTTTCCTGAGCTTCAGACTGCCTCTGAGTATGAGGTGGAGGACTGGGATAAAGAATTGGAGGACTCTGAATTTACTCCTTATGGTAAGCACAAATCTCCTTATGCTTCATTTGAGTGTTGGCTAGTACGTGGTTGGAGGCAGGTGCTTTGCAGGTCGAATGTGTTTAAATAACTCCATTTGTTTATTTTGCTAAATGATTTTTTTTTGGCGTTTACCTCAAGGATTTGTAATGCATAACTTTATTTTGTTGTAAAATATAAGATTTAAAGGCAATGTTGTCTAGTTCATATGTAATTCCTTTTTTGCTTGAGCAATTGAATTCTTAAGCAGTGGGATGGTGAAAGGAAGACATGTATGTGTGTGTGGAGCCTCTCTGGAGAGGTTAGGCCTCTATAGTGAATCCTTGTTGTTCTGAAGCCGAAGAGAGTTTCGGGGACTGCAGGAATGTAACTTCTTTTGTGTAAAAGAAGTTCCTCCTTCCCTCCAGAAAAATTCGCCCAGATTATACAACCATAAAGTCCCTCTAGAACACGAAGTTCTTTGGAGGTGAGTGGTACAAGCACTCAGTCTCTGTCCTGAGTATGTTTTGTTGTTGTTGCTGTTGGATTGGGATTTCTTTGTTTATTTGTTTTTAAGCCTGATTCTGCAAATATTTGTGCATGTGATTGACTACATTCTCATCAGTCCCATGGACAAAGGTGGTCATGACAGTTTCACCCCCATCTTTACAGTAGTATTAATCCTTCTGCTCATGAAATGTTTGATAGTGGCTCTTGCTTTGCAACAAGACTCTAAACCTTCCCATTTGCCAGGTGATATGTTAGGATATAACAAATGGATTGTGCTTAGCCAATAGTTGAATGATAACCTGCTGAGTTTTTGTGGAGATAGAATAGTATAATTTCCATTTTCCTCACTAGAGTACATCTCTTGGAATTGATGCAAACAGTTCTGTCTTTGCCTAGAAAACATTAATTCTCTGTTTACTAGTGTTCTGCAGATGGCTGTAGTTCCACAGGTTGGCAGTAGAAGGATTTGGGAAAGCTTTTTGTAATCTTCCTATAGAAACATTCAAATTTTAAAATGAAAATATAGTGCTGACTTTTCATGCTGCATAATCTGAGAAAAGTGCTATTTCCTTTTTGGTTGCTGCTTCCGTTCTGGATGTTTCCCTTCCTTCCTTTTTAGGATATCCTTTTCATCCTTCTCATCTGCTCAAATTCATGTAATGTTTTGAAATGGATGATTTTAATTGGAATTATCACAAGTTCTCTCATTTTCCTGTGTTTAATTAGTTTATCCTTACTTACAGCTTATTCTCTTAAAACTGCATAAATTTAGTGGGAGGAAGCTGTGATTATTGGGTTCAGGTGCTTATGAAGGATGCTGATAATGGGTATTGGAGTTGTTAACTGCTGCAAATCAAAAAGGTGCTTGGTTGGTCTTTCTATTTTTTTTTTTAATTACTTTTGAGAATGCTTGCTCTGATTGCTTGTTCTGCAGTGCTATTGGAAAAATGACAAGGTGGCATACTGTGTTGGGTCCTCTGCTGCCCCATAATCTGGGCTTTTTATTTGTTTGTTAGACTTCTAATAGGCTAGTGGACATGCTGTTCATAACTAGCTTTTACAGGATCTCTCTCTTCCATTTCCGTGCAGTTGACCTAGGCCTTGAAGGGTTTGGGGGCTCCTAATTGGGGATGTGGTTACAGAGACAGCAGGAAGTGGGGAACAAGAGCTGTGGCTTTGTGAGCCTTTTATACCTGCAGAGAATGTAGAAGAACTGCATAAACTGTAAGAGCTGGTGTCAGATGTTCTGAATCAAGGTATGTGACTGAGCTTTTGGGAAAACTGTTTTAAGTTGTCTCTGTGGCAATGGCCTTTCTTAAAATGAAGCTGTTGCCAAACTCTGCTTTCTGTTTGCTTTGTTTGTAGGCTAATTTCACTGGTGCTGGTAGATCAGATTGACATTCTTGACGTGAAGATGCTGTAGAACTGCAAAACAACTTGCTGCTCTACACCGCTAGTTTTCGAAATACCTTCCATGGTTTAAATCTCTTTTTTCATCTTCTTTAGATGCTGGCGATCTCCACTGTGGAAGCTTTCAGGAAAATAATCTTTTGGCCTCATATTCATGGCGAGAGGATTCCTTTTACAACCCAGGGTGTCACCATGCAGCTTGCGTTGCTTTTACATCGCCAATTAGAATGACTGAGACTGGCCAGTTTGATGATGCTGAAGAATGAGGTTGCCCCTGGTCAGAACTAAGTTTGGCTTCTGAGTTGGACTGTGTTCTTCTCTGATTAAGTCATGTTAAGCCCTTTGGCTTGCTTGCAGAATTCTGTATAAGGTCAGAAGTGCTGCACCATCTCTGAAGGTTTTTCTTAGACTGTTCCTGAAGTGTGTATAAGCTGACTGTGCTTGACCTCTAGGAACCAGAGTGCAGGTGCTAGCTGTAAGGAGTCATTCATTTCTGGAGTTATATAGCTCTATGTTGTTGCTAATGAACTGCTTAGGAGGAAGTATTTAATTTCTAACCGTCAGCCTGATTGCCAAGTTTAGCCAGTTTTAACAGGCTGATCCCAGTGTGTCAAGCCTGCGTAACTTGTAGTGTTCTTTTCTTTGCATTTGATGCTATCAAATTGGTTCAGATAGCTTTAAAAACTCTTCCTCCTTTCAACTTCTGTGTTGTAATTCTATGTTGCAGTTTCTCACTCCGTATCGAATTCTGGTGTTTGACAAAATTAGCCATGACAGATACAGAATGAATTGTTTTGTTTCTAATTTTTAATGCCTTTCAGTATGAATGGATTATAAGCATTTGAGATACATTTTGCTTTTACACATGTGGACATCAGTGAGGACTGGACAGTTGGGCCTGCTGCACCTGATAAGAATGATGGGTGTTTAAGAGTCTGCCTTCCAGCAGAGCTTTCTGCACGTCAGACTTTCTTGTATTTGGGCATATTGTCCTCTAGTCTCACCATTGTCTCTATAGCATCCTCATGTGATGTCAGACCTGTATGGAGGAAGAAAATATCTGTGCTTAAATAGTGTCTTGCAGTATGTGATCTCAGCACGTCCTGCAGACAGTAGTGAATTTAGGTTCATGACACTACTGATATTTTTGTGGTGGTGGTGGTGGTGTTTGTGTTTTGATAAGTGAGGAAATGGCCACGCAAAATATCTGCAGAACGCCTCTTAAGAGAACAGCTGGAACTATAACAATATCCTCCTTGCCCTTGCTTTGGAGTTAAAGGAAATGTTCTCAAGTGAAGTATATAAGTGGATTGAGTGGCTGATCACTTAAGTAATAGTTCATGTTTCAGTGTTTCATATTTCATTACTCACTTTTCTCTCAGAACTTTTTAAAGATGTCTTTTTTTTGACACTGATTGATACTGAGGCACAGTACCCATATTCGTTCTCAGGCAAGGAGTTAACATTCAGCATTGGAAGATTCTTTTTGTTTGTTGTAATCATCCAGTGTATGAGACTGAAATAATTTGAAGTATTAGTTTGGAAGGAAGAAGTGAATGACACAGTAATGTTTCCTTAATCTTTTCATTGAGCAGAGGAGGACAAGAGTGTGGAAGAGTCTTTTCTGGTACATTGCAGTTTCTAGTTAAATACTAGTACCTAGCAAACAAGCCTAGTAAAGGCTGGAAGCTTAGAGATGAGGTTGCAGCAAAGACAGCCTGTTCTTTTATCCCTGTGTGATACAGTGCTCTAGGGAGTAATATTTCTAGCAAAAGTTACTTCAGCATGCTTCCAGAACATATACATGCAGCATATACAGCAGAAAGCACAGTCTAACAGTTTGTTCTTACCTTGCAGAGCAAGAAAGCACTATTTGTGCTCTCTAAGGCATTGGAGGTGGGTTTTGTTCTGTGTCTGACTGCTGTGTTTCAGAGACAGAGTACTGCTCTTCATGATGAGCAGAACTCTGCATTAGTTAGAAGCTGCATTTGCCTCTGTGGAATAGAAGTAAGAATTGACTATGCCAGATTTTTCAGGCTTGGATATATAGCAGCTTCTTTCTCCAACCTAGAAAACAGAAATGAAACTCAGCATAAATATAACTGACCATCAGCTCGCTGAAGTTGCTGCTCTGCATTTATAAATGCAATATAAATAAATATAAATTGAGTACAGATTGGTTTTGAAGTAACGGTGTGTACCACTAGATAATAAAAGTTCCTCTGAAAAAGCGTAGTTTATTTTGTAAGACTATTTGTTAATTTCAAGGATGGCAATGCTCAATGCTGCCCTGCAGAGGGCAGCAAAAAATTGTCTAGTCTGCAAGCATGCTTTCACTTGGCAATAAACTTCACCAGTAAGTGTCAGATCCCTGGGCTGGATTTCTAACATTACAATAACTATTTAGATCTGGGTTCTGCACAGCCCTGTTGTTCCCCAGTGAGCTTGATTCATGGCCCTGATTAGTTTCTCTTTTTTTATTTCACCCTCAAATTGTACTTGCTGGACTGAAAAATTTCTCCCATGGCTGAGAAAAGAACATCAGTTGACTTTGGGCTTCATGTGTGTGTATATATATTTTTTTTACTATGCTTGTGGGAGACATCCCATAGGATTTAATAAAGATGAAAGTAACAGAATTCTGTAGAAGCAAAGCTGCCTTCTTGAGAATTATGATTTAAAAGGATAACCAAAACATCCTTAAAATTGATTAGGTTGATTTTTCTTCCTGTACGATTCCAGAATTCCATCAGTCCTAAAGTCTCTAAGCCCTTTCTTATATATTCCATAAATGGAAGGCACATCTCAAATCAAGTTTGTAGTTTTTTTAGCCTAGACAAGGCTGATTCCAATTAGAAGTATATCTGGATTGTTTTGTTATTTGAAGAGAAATAGTCTTGAATGGCTGCCTTACCAAGCTGTTTGTATTTTAAATGACTGTATACTTAAAAGACTTGTGATTAGTTTTCCCTTTCCCTTTTCGGTTAAACCCGACTGCAACCTCCTCCCAGCCACGTAAAAATATGACAAGAGGCTTTCACAACAGAGTTGCATTGCCCTCTCTAGGGATGTGTTGGCAAATGTAACGTCGTTCGTCTTGGCCCTGCTTGTTAGGGAAGGGGCTTGATGTAAAGACTGATCTGAATTCTCCCAAACTTCAGTGGGATTAGAAAACCAGATGCAGCCTTCTCAGAATGCTTCTCCCTGGAAGAATTTGAAACCAAGCTCACAGATTCTAATATTTCTGCACTACAGAGTGTTTCAAATTCCATGGCGAATCTCTTACTGAGTCTGTTTTGTGTTGACACAAGCATGTCATTCTAGACGAGAATATCTTGCAATTAAAAACACCATAAGGTAGCCTCTGAACCATCAAGTCAAGCAAAGAGAATCAACTCTTCAGCCTGTTCAAATGAACGAAGGGAAAAGAGTCCCACTGCAGGACCAAGTCTGAAAATACTTCATGCATGCAAGAAACACATTTTGAAACTGACTTACATACTGCCAATGAATCAGAAGCGTTAAAAATTTCTCAGTTGTTTGCATACATCTGTAATGAGATTCCCCCTTCTGTACCCTCGAAAGGCAAAAAGGCTGTACTGCAGGTTCGTGTTTGGATTTACACTGTTGGGGAGGTGTGGTAGAATGGTATATAATACAGTGACCCAGAAGATGACCTGGGTGCAAGTAGGAGTGTGCCCTTGCTTTCCTGCTATCTTCTATTTCATTTCCCCTTTTTACAGATGGAGATAATGATAATAGCCTCTTTGTAGAGCACTTCAAATTCTGTGGACAACAGTTTTGTATAAACAGTGAGGTGCTATTATTAAAGAGTTTTGCATTTTCTTTGAACTGACTAGCAAAGAAACTAAAACTTGTTTGGGGTGCATCTGTTCTTTCCTTTGAGACCTACAGGGAATGATTTGCTGGAGGAAATAATTAAAGGAAATGTGTTCATATTTCCTGTTGATAAGGAACAGCATTTAATTCATTCATCAGACTGGGGTACTGGTTTCTTGCTCTTACATGACCACAATATACAGTTCATTGTAGTGTCTTTAAAAGAGACTACTTCTTGGCGGTTGTGTTGTCCCTTCTTTAAACTAATGTACTTTGGCTCTTAAGCTGAGAAAACGCCTTCACTGTGGAGTAGGACTATGTGAATAATTTCAGACTAGAGGAAAAAGGCTGATGGCAGCAGCCCATCCTGACCATCTGCTGCTTCCGAGGACTCCAATTTAAGTCCTGTTGTAACAAAGGTTGTTTTGTGAACCCGGTGGGTAAGCTTCCGTAGGCAGAGGAAAGAAACCTGTGATTCTTACCCTCTGTAGTCCTGTATCGCAAACATACACATTGGAGACTCAAGCATTAGAGGAAAAGATTGTAGTGGAATTGTTAGTCCTGGGAGTTACCAGCTGCTCATAGCCCAGTTTCCTAGCCTGGGAAAGGCAGAAGAAAGTATGTAACCCACTATAAAAAGCTGCAAAGCACGCAGCCCTAATACTTGGTTTTAGTCATGACAACAGCTTCCTTCAAGCGTTTGGGACAGACCCTCAGCTGGTATAAACTGTTGCAGCTCATTACCCAAGCAGCAGCTCTGTCATATCTGCCCCTATAGCTTGTGCTACCGTACTCAGCTACAGCTCGCATTTAGTGTTTCATTATTGCAGGAGATTTTAGTTCTTGATGTAACGGGCTCTCTTTACATTCATTATAACTCTGACCTTCATGGAGCAAAAAACCAAGAATGTGGATCAATGCCTGTGTGTGTGTTGTGTTTGTGTGCGGGGTTCCCCCCCCCCCCCCCCCACTGAGGATAGCTAATTTCAGGATGTGTAGCTTAATTCAGCCTAGGAAAGCTGATCTTTGTGTGGTTTAGCAAGTCTTGATTCTTTGGCCTGAATTACTTTATTCGACCTTTTTTTGATCTGCCTGTAACTTCTGTATTTAGACCTGGAAAATCTTTTAATTGTATGGTACATGAATTTAAGACTGATTAGGTTGCATGTATTCATTTGTGAAACTAGGGGCTCAATTTTCTGATTTATTTCCCCCAAAAGGAAATACTAGTGGATTCTGCTCAGTCCTATTTGAGCTATTGGTCCTTAATATTTAAATTGAGCAATGTATTTTATGTGAGACCCGGAATACCACAGAACTCCAAGTTCTCACTGTGCTGCTTTATAATTTTAATCAGTGTAGTTATTATGAGCTCTGACATCAAACAAGTTATTTAGTAGTTCTATCTCTGCCTCTGGAACTACCTCAGAACTCTTACATTCTCACCAAGGAATTGTTCTTCCAGTTACTTAACACATACTGGGAAATATTTTGTCTTTTTTTGACTGTTCAGTCACAGCAGAAGTAATACTTATCTGTGATTTTTGTCCAGATGCCTCCTTATTGCCTTGTGAGTCAATGGGCAGCGTTATAATATAGAGCTGGCTGTGGTTGGCTGGGAATTGTGTAACTTCATCTCCTGCTCTACGCATTATATGCTCAAAAGCTTCTGGGAGAGTAAATAGGAGTGAGACAGTGATTACACAGGACCTATACTCCACAGCAGAGCGCCGCCTCCTTCTGTGTAACTGGAGTAATAACAGGGAAAAGTATTTTAGCTGAGCAAGTCTTCACAATGCTTGTGCCACTAGCGTGGCTAGAACTGGAATGCCAAGGCCAGATGAATAGCTGATACTTCCAACAGAAGTATGGGCAACAACTCAAAATAATATATTCAAGATTACTAAGGAGCAATTTTTAGGGGGAATGGTAATAGACTGGAATAGACCTTATTCAGCACTAGATCTAAGTTAATTTCTAGCTTGGGTAGGCAGCCACTGAAAGCCAATGCAATTTGAAGCCTATTCCCATTGAGGTATCTGGCATTAATAATGAGCTATAGTGGCTCAGATGGAATCTGCAAGGAATTGGGGACCGAACTGAATGGCCCCCAAAGTGCTCCTTTTTGTCAGGAGAGAAGCATGTGAAGTGTTTTGTCTGGATTTGATATAGACCTAAGAGGACAATATTTCAAAACTTCAGAATGACATCTGCTCCAAAATGGCACCTCTTGTGAACATAAAATAACTTTAGAGAAGGACTGTAAGGCAAGCCTAGGCTTTATGCTGTGCACACCTGTTAGCTGCTTCTGCTTGAAGCCAGAGAATTTTCTGCAGCTCCAGTTGCTTTATTTGCTGCCTTTTATCAGAGATGCTGAGTCTCATATAAAAAGCCATATAATTTTGAATAGTAGTTCCGAATCCCTCTTAAAAATCCCCTAGGGAAAAGGGGGAGGCTGTAAGGGGGGTGATAAACTAGTAGAGCTTCTATTTTAAATTTGTAATGGCTACACGTCAGAGGGATTGCTTTGGTCATCTAGCCTAACACTCCTGCCCAGGATACAGCTGAGCAATTCTTGTGACAGAAGAAAATCTTCTACACTGGTATAATAGAGTGTATAGCTCTTAGTGCAGGGCCAAATTAAGGTTTTAAGTACCAGTTTAATAACTAAGTTTAAGAACATGAGATGTTGAACAAAATAGTAGCTGGAGTGTTGATCTGCTGTGATAAGCCCTTGTCCCTATGTGGAAGCCAGAAGCTGTCTGTGAGCGGGGACAGGGCTGGTACTGGAGTCTGGTATCAAACCTGAAAAGCACATAGAGTTGTTTGGACCCCTGTCCTTAAGGAGGCAAATGCGAACGTTTATCACAATATGGCAGCTTTTTGCAGGGCATGGGGGCTGATGTGGAGAAGGGAGAAAGGGAGGCGATCCTTGATTCTCAAATCTGTCTGCTTTGTGAAGCCCCTAAGAAAGGGCCAGTTGCTCCCTTCTCCGTACTACAGGAAAATCACATTTAAAGGAAGCTTTGAGTTTTGCTTCAACTGTGGTTAGCTCATTATGTTGTCCACCTGAAGCTGGACAAGTGGTAATCTGAAATGCATGCACAAAAGTGGAGCCTGTAAATAGCCACGGTGTTACTCCAGAAGCCATCAGTGTTTTCTTTTCTATTGTCATTATTGGATTTGCTAGAATACTTGATTTTTTCCCCTTGCTCTCAGTGTACTGTTTTTCTCTGTCTTCAGTTCTGTATTCTTCAAACAGGCCATTATTTTCCCCGGCTGAAACACCTTTTATCTTCTGGTTTGGTCAGTTCTGCTTTTCAGCATCGTTTGTACTTGATTTGTCTGGTTGAGCATCTAACTCTGCAGCTTGTACTATGCCCGAAGAGTCTGGTGTTTTCAGTGGGATGGGTCAGACTTTATAAATAAAGCCATTAGAAACTGGCTAGAAACGTAGATAAAAGTTTCTCAGGCAGAGTCTCTGTCTGTCTACCAGATAAAAACTACATTTAGTTCTACCCTCTGTAGTTGTGTAGTGAGTGGGTTAGATTTAATGTGGTCTTTTATAGAAAAATGGACAAACTGTTCTTCCAACAGGTCTGGGATTTGATTTAAGATCAGGCTTTTTCTTATGTGGTCTATAAAGTGCATTGTAGCCCTATAGGAATACTTGTGTGTCTGGTTCCTGTCTGCAGTTTTGGAGCATTCTGGCTATAATGATGGTGTTTCTAATTATGTACAGAGGTAATTCTCAGGCCAAAGAATGGGGAGTTTCCATCACCTGTCCCATTAACTGCAACAGGGTTTCTGTTGTGCAGGGTGGGGGAGGAATGCCTGCATGAAATAAGCACCTAACGCTGGCAGTGACGGGAGGCTCTTCTCAGGAATGCCGCTTTACTGCTCAAGGCACCTTCCGTTCCTCTACAAGGGGTGACTCTGAAGGATGTGCCAGCCTTCTTAAATCAGCCACGTCTCTGTTGCCTATAGGTTATGTTACGGTAATTTCCTTTTAATTGGGTTCCATTTGAAAAGGGAGCAGATGTGGCCGTTTGGCCAGCATGTAGCAGCCTGGCTGTTTGGTGATACAGGACTGGGGACACTGATAGCACCCTGCCTTTGTGATCCTGACTGCCTGTAAAGGAAAGGGCTAGGTTCATTCATTATCTTGCAAATTAACTTAATTGTTCCATAACTGAGACTCTGAGTATCTGGGAAACAACCTCTTTTGATACATATCCTTTCAAGTTTAGCTCACTTATTCCCATTCAGCTTGCCTTGGTCTTGGATGGTTGCTGAGGCTATAATGATGGCTTCCATCACAATTCAGTGCTCAAGGTCTGGTGGGTAGGT